CGGGGGCTTGCGGTGGGGGCGCCCCGTGGTCCAAGGTTCGGTTAGTCCGAGCCTGCGGCCCGCCAGCGTCTCACCTGTGGAGGTGCGCACCAGAGCGGCTTTGTCTGCCCCGAAGCGGCGCCGAGCCCGGCTCGGAGCACGTGGTGTTGCTTTGCGCCGTTCGCCCCGTGCCGTGATCTTGTTTGTAGCGAGTGGACCGGTGCCCCGGGGCGCCCGTCCCAGCAGAGGTGGCCAAACCTGTGGCAGGCAGGAGTGCTGCGAGGCGGGCCGGGGAGGGGCCTGCAGGCAGCGCAGCAACCCCTCGGGCAGGATCCTGGGCAGGGGGCGAGAGCGGGCAAAGTGGGGGATGGGAGCGGGACTTGGCAGGCGGCCGCGCTGGGGCTGGGTCTCGTGGCTTGAGAGAGCCGCGCTTCATAAACTCACCCTGGTTTGGCTTGTGGAGCAGATAGTTATACAGACGTAATTGTAAACTTTGCATCTGGGAATACATTGTGATTTGACAGTACAGTAAGTACACAGGACAGGATAAAATATCTACCCATCTATATAGATCCACACACGTTTTATTTATATCTAGATATATATGTATATAAAGTGTGTATCTATCTGTCTCTATATATAGATCTATCTATCTATATACACACACTTTATATATATATCTAGATATATAGAAAATGTGTGTGCGTATCTGTCTGTCTATCGATAGATATATATCTATGATCTTGGGGGCCTTAGCCCCCGTGCCTGATACAGATCCACGTCTCTTAAGTTCATCAGGAATTTTTTCTGCCCTGGGGCTGCAAGTGATATCCCCGTTAGGGGTATGAACGTGTGTCGGACTCCTGCGTACGAGACGTGTCATACGGAGGCTTCTCACAAGGTACAAAAATGAGATTTGATGAAAACAAAGTTAAAACTTTACTGCAGGACTCTGTAGAGTCCACTAGGGGGAACTCTATGCAGACTTAATTATTTACCTGGGAAGCGTGTAGGTAGAAAACGTTTATGCATGCAGCAGGGACACAGCCCTGCTGGCTACCCTACTTGGAAGATGGCCTGTGTGAGGCAGGTGCGGTGTGTGTCCAAATGGAGCTCCCTGTGGCAGCTGCATTTGAGTGGTGTGGATGTGGCCAGAGTTTTCTCTCTTTTTCTTTTTTTTTTTCTTAGGTCAGGATCTGCAAATGCTGTAAATGTGGGTGAGGATTTTTTGAGGAAAGTTTCTGTCTTGGAGAGGATATGGAGGAAGAAGCAGCAGTGTACCAAGGCAGCATTCTGCTCTGCAAGGTAGTGAGCGCTCCAGAGCTGGAGCTACCAGTGAGCACAGAAAGGGTTGAAGAAGTACTAGGACATACATGCAGTATTGGGACCTGAGTTTCTGCACTGACAGTTTAAATGAGCTGCTGCTCTTTAACTAAATTCTCTTTTTTAGGTCATTCTTACATAACTCCTTTTCTGTTGTTCCTACGCATCTAACTGAAACCTTGTCTGTTCTCTGATAATATAGTGCAGTTTGTATCAAAGTAGGCATGTCAGAGAGAGAGCCTGCAGACTGCAGTGCCACATCGTCTGGCCCCCAGTGCTCTAGCCCTGCACAGTGCCAGTCCGGGACCTCCCTGCATGCTGGATCCAGTGCTCACTCTGAATGGTGTGGGATGTAAGCTGCATGTGGCCCCCACTCTAGGTAGTCTGGGGTGGGTGCTGCATGCAGCACAGGTCCTGGGTCAGCCAGAACAAGTGTTGGATTCACCTTGTGAGGGTGGCTCCACTGGTCCTCTGCATGCTGCAGCTGGTTGGGGACTACATCAGATGCAGTGCCTGTTTCAGCCAGCCTGAGACCCACACTGCATGCATTGTTCACCTTGGACTGTCTGCATGTGGCTTGCAACCTGATCTGGCCACGTGTGGTGCAATTCACACCCACCCCCACCCCATCCAGACAGAGTGAGTGCCAGGGATCCTGAATCTGATATGGTATGAGCAGCAGGTGATGAGTTTGGTAAGCGCTGTTAGGTGTGCAGACATTATTCACAAGATTGCAAATGGGAACATACAGTATTGAAAACATTCTGACCCGTTGTAGGCTTTCTGAGTTCTTTGCAGCCAAAAAAATGCTCTTATTATTTTCCTGAAGTCAAATAACAAATGAAAGCTAAGAAATGGTATTTTTGAGGGGTACCTTCAGTCTATGGGGGTTGAGATTTGTTGTTATAGACCATGGCTGTCACTTAGCTTTGACTTAGTAAAATGTTTTGATATAACTAATACTACTTTAAATATGCACTTTATTATCAAAACTGTTTATTTTTGGAATTTTGTGTAAAATGGAAATTTTGATGACTACCTGCCAACATTACCTGTCTCCTATGCAATGCCCAGAACAAAGCCAGCATTTCTAATGAAGATGAAGGTTTTGCAGTCTGGTCTAGGAGAATGGATGGTGGAGCTCTATGTATATGTGGTAGTTCACAAATGCCAGCTCCACTTGCAATAATTGAGCAATGGTTCTTGCATTATGTCTCGGCATTTGTCTCCATTCCAGGTAGACTGCAAATTCCTCTTCAGATGAGGAAAATGCAAGACCGAGTAGCTCTTTTCTCACTCCCCAGGGGCTACTCTGAAGTGTGGATCTTCATCATATACAGAATAAGAATTGCCCTAACTGTATCCATATGTGGCTATTGCACTACCACCTTAGACCCAAAAGCCTAGCTAGAATTCATGTTCTTACAGGTTCCTGTTGGGAGGAGAAACTTGTGAAACAGTCAGGTACTTCTTTGTAACGTTTGCTTAAAAAAGTAAAAGATTATACAGGGCCCTATTTCTCTAAGTACAGAAAGGCTGGCATAGGGGAGAGTTTCCTTGCTGCTGCCTCGGGGCTTTTCTTGACCCAAGAACCCCCCACAATTAGTCTTGCCTAGATTGTCTCCCCTGGCTATTTCTAGGTGCTACTCTGTCCAGCAAGATTCTGTCTAGACAGTCATCATTTCAGTGCAACTTTTTTTTTCTTGTGGTGTTGATGTGCTTAATTGTCTTGCACCGATTTGTAAATGAAAGAATTGGTGGATGTAACCACGCTCTCTGTAACCTGACCTATAAAAGTCTTTGTTCTGTTTTCAAGCATTCCTGCAATATATATTCTTTTTGATGGGTGTTTTTAGTATTTGATGTAGTAACTATACAATTCTCTGGCTATGTATTCAGTCTTTCTAGCTTTCTGCAGAATGTTTTAATACCCCAATGCATCTTTTATTTATCATTTGGTGACATGTTAAATTAAAAAATAAAAGGAACAGAGGCTAGAAGGTTATTTTGTCAGACTAGCTGATCAGTTAATTTATGACCTGGCTTTTATCAGCAAAATTGGAAATTCACGTTTTCAATTCAGTTTACCCCGTTAAATGCACTCTATCTTTGACACCCTGTACATTTAATACTAGAACTACTGCATTCATATTTTATATTTGTTTTAATGTTTGTTTCACTTTAAAATCCATCTACCTCCACAGATGATGGTGGCAATTCTCTTTCTTTTCACAATTTGTAAAACAGAAGTCCCAAATGAAAGCAGTAGTGAGCCTCTCATTTCAACTGCAGTTTAAGAATGTGTTGTTTGATCCCTTTCCTCTGAAATGAAAGCTGGATATAGAAGAAAATGCAGTGTTTTCTTTCTTCAGGTATTCAGATCACTATGGCAACTGCAAGAAACATGATGAGAGCTGTCAGAGTTTTTGAGTTTGGTGGACCTGAAGTGCTTAAGCTCCAGTCAGATGTCTTGCTGCCTGTTCCAAAAGAAAACCAGGTGGAAATGATGTCTGCAAGCTGAAATAATTGCAATGAATAGTAATGTCTTGAGTGTGTGAATTGAGTGAGTGTCCAAAGCTGAACCGTTTTAAGTGTAGTTCACCTTTTTCATCAGATTTAACTAATTCACTTTTCCAGTGTGGTCTTCATGTCAAATAGAAGTGATTTTCTAAAAGTATCACCTCCATTCTCTATAACCTTCTTTTTAATAGTTGAGAAAAATGACATAAGTAAGTGCCATAACTTGAAATCTAACTGAGCTTCCCTGCGCAGGTTTGTACCTTGCCTCATAATAAGGGGTTTGTTTTTTTGCAGAGAATATTTTGTAGTTAGAACCATTCCCCTTTAGAGGAGGAAGGTGCAGATTTGAAGCCACTCATCTGTAGCTGAGCTTTAGAAAGATGACCTGGAGTTTAAGATCATCTGAACTCTGGGTTTTGTACCCAGCTGTGTGCGCAGTGCATCCTGTGTGCTGTTGAGCAAAACAGTTCGTTGTCAAGTGAAAGTGATCTGTGATGTTGATTCAAAACGTTAGTGGCTGTAATGACTCAGGAATGAACAACAGTTTCTTTTCAGGTTTTAATCAAAGTCCATGCATGTGGAGTAAACCCTGTGGAGACATACATTCGTTCTGGTGCATATTCTAGAAAGCCATCATTGCCATATACGCCTGGCTCTGATGTGGCTGGAGTAATTGAAGCAGTTGGGGAACATGTCACTTTATTCAAGGTACTGTGTTTTGTTTGTTTGTTAATTGTTGGTGTGTTCTTTCCTTATGTTATTGGTGCAATACGGTACTGTTCAGTATAACTCTAAGTTGAAGTCTTTTAAGCATTTCCTCTGTGGGGGGGAAGCTTTTAATTAGCTTTTAATTAACTCTGCAGAAGGTCAGACTAGCAGTCCTGGCTTTGCAAACTGCTCTGCAGACAGACCCTTGCTCCTGTGTGGAGCTCAATAGAAGTCAGCAGAATACAGTACAGGGTAAGGAGTCCATCTTGATGGAGCAGTGTTGTAAGATTGGGGTCTAGTTTACAAAATGTTGGTCCAAAAGCATTTTTATATATTATAGGAGTAACTTGACATTGCTCCTGTTAGTGATAACAACTGTATCCTGAGCTTTCAGATGGTTGTAGTGACTCTTTACTAGCCCTATCCTGGCCAAGTAGGAATGTGAAGTTATTTTACTGATGTTTAAAACAGCTTATAATGATGAGAAAGAAGCCGCCTCTAAGATGTATTTGTGGATAAGTGTGTTTACATAGTTGATCTCTCATAGTAGTTTGGTTTCACCTCTTCCCCTTTGGTTAGATCACATTTGGTCATATGGAGAAAATTGTGGAAGGGAAAAAGACTGGTTATCAAACTGACGAGAGGAATGAGTTGTGTTTGGTTTTATTTTTAACTGGCTCTTACCTCTCGTTTCTTATTTACTAGTTACCTTGGGGTTTGTTAAGAATAGATGCCTCTCAAATTTAGTAAAATAGTTAAGAAATACTTCTTATACTGTACTCTTGTAAAATCTTTGGAACTTTATCTTTGGATGTTTCAGATGGAACTCAGGTTTATCAAGGATGATTTTATGTGTTTCGGTATTGAAGGTAGTGGTGTACACTATGCATATGTTTTTTTAAATCAAACTATACAAAGTTATGTGGCTTGTGATGCGTACACTTCACTGATAGGGTTGTATCAAAATCTAATCTTCTAGGAGGAAAACATTTGATAATAATGCTATACAACATACTTTGACTTAAGTATTATGAATGTGTGATTAAACTTTTTTCATTTCCTTCCTACCAGAAAGATGACAGGGTTTTTACCAGAGGTACCATCTCTGGTGGCTATGCAGACTACGCAGTTGCTTCAACTGACACCGTCTTCCCTTTGTCAGATAAACTGGACTTCAAGCAAGGTGCAGCCATCGGGGTCCCATATTTCACTGCTTTCCATGCTCTCTTTCAAAAGTAAGACTGCAAACTTGGCTTATACCTTTTGTTTTTGAGTACTTATTTTGAAAAATAAAAAACGTCATTAACAAGCTAAGGCCATTTTAACTTTTGGGAATGATACAGGCCTCAAGTACTCTGTTTTGTTAAGAGATGGGAGGTAGGGCAGTAATTAGAAGAAGACTTCAAGGAGTCTTGGAGGATTACATTAAATTAATTAATTAAATTAACACATTAACTAAAGGATTGCGATCTGGAGGGTATTAACAATATTTTTCTTTTAAGATTGCATTTTTAAGAATATCTTAAGGGCTTACAGACCTGAAATGGGAATTTTTTTTCTTATTTACCTATAATAAAATAAGCAAATAATTCTTTCTCCCCTTACCACACTTTAATTCACTACTCCTCTATCTGAGTAGCATTAGATGGAAGTCACTGAAAACATTATTTCTGTTTCTTATTTGAAGCAGAGTTGGTGCTAAGTAACCCATGTCTCCCCGTCACGTTTTCAGGGCAACATTGGAAGAACTCCTACTGTAGCTCCTGTGCATATATGTGTATATAAACATGTCCATCACTGGCATAATTTAATGAATTTGTATAAGAGTGTCCTGTCTGCTGGGAAATGAGAGATCAGGACTGGTAATCCAGTATAGATAAAGGGTGCCAAACTTGTCTGATCTTTGAGCTGCATGTGAACCTTGGGGCTCCTTGTGGACTGGATCTGGACTGCAAGGAGCCTTGCTAGGTGGATCTGAATGCATATCTGGTGGCAGTGTAAATAAAATTGGGTAGCCTCAGGGGTTAACATGGGCATCAGTCACCCTGCCATCACCCAAACATGTCCCCAGTGGGACTCCATATCTTGGTTTTTGGCAATTGTGCCTGCCACTGCTTGTCCCACCCCCGAATTCTTGGTCCTTCCAGGAGCCCCACTGGCCAGATGATACTGGTCCACAGGCTGTATCTTTTACACCTCTGGTCTAGATCATCTGGGAGAACAAAGCATTAGGCCATTTAGTTTTTCCTTTTAAAAGTATGTGGGGCTTATTTTGATATCTGGAACAACTGAAGATGTTAAAGGAAATGTTGTTTTGAATACAGGCTTGTAGTTAATTTATACATATAGCAAAGATGTTCTGGTTCAGTCTGCATATTGATCTTATTTGGCATGGGTTGTCAACAGGGGGTACGTGTACCCCAGGGGGTACTTGAGAAGTCCTTAAGGGGTACGCATGGGCGGGCAGAGACGGAGCACCACCATGCACCATCCTGTGCTGCTGTGCAGGTGCCGCCTGCCTGGCCAGACACGGGGGCAGGGGAATTCACATTTGGCCATGCACCACCCCTCCCCTTCCGCTCCTCATCTGGCTGCCAGGGGTACACTTCTCCATGTCCAGCCCTCAGAGGTACACTGATCCAAAAAGGTTGAAAACCCTTGTTATTTGGAAATCATATAATTGCTGTATGTATATATGTATGTATATATGTTATCTTCTCTGCACCAAATGGCCTGCTGCTTCTAATCCCAGAAAAACTCCAATGTCAAAGTAGAGAGAAAGGCGAAAAGGGCCTGTTGAATATATTGATGAATTTTATAATGTGACTAATCACACTCTGACTGTTAATAAAAAATGAAAATCTTAATTTGTCACTTTGCCTTTCAGAGGACGTGCCAAAGCTGGAGAAAGTGTGCTAGTCCATGGAGCAAGTGGTGGAGTAAGTACCTTGAGCACCTAAGTTATGAAGAATTTTGCATGTGTTTACATATCTGTATTTTTGTCGATGGTGTAAGTAAATGAAGAAGAATACCCCAAAGACGATAAGATAATTCTTGGCGATTTCAGTTCTAGAGTGGGCAGAGACTCAGAGCTATGGAAAGGAACACTTGGAAAGGAAGAACTGGTGGAAGTCGATTCAAATGGAATTCTTCTGAGCAAGTTGACATCATCATCATAAATTCCTTATTCTGCCAGAGCAACAAATGGAAGACATCATGGATGAACCCCACTCAAAATACTGGCATCCAGTTGACTTTGTCATAGCACATGCTGTCATGTCATCCATATCAGCGGAGCTGTGAGCAGTGCAGACAACTTCTGGATGAATCATCGTTTAATATATTCCATTATGTCCGTTCATATCACCCCAAAACAATGTAAACAAAAAAAGGAACCAAGGATGAGGGTCAATATAGAGTGCTTGAAAGACCCTTCTAAAAGTGATCATCTTTGGCAGTTTCTCACTGAAAATCTCTGACCTCCTTGATGATCTTGACACCACTAATCACTAGGAGAACTTCAAGAAAGGCATCTGTGAAGTGTGTGAAGAATCTCTAAGCTCCACAAAGAAACATCAGGACTGGTTCAGTGAGAATGATGGGGGAATTCAAGCTCTCTGACAGGAAAAAAAAGAGCTTTCAAAGCTTGGCAGAATAACATCAACTCCAAACAGAAGCACGACTGTAAAAATTAGCATGCAGACTGGAGTGCTGCTTTTAGTTAGGCTGCTTAGATCATGTGTAGTACATCTACTGGTATAGGCACAAAAGGGAGAATTGTTAGAAGAAGGTGATTCGAGAACTCTATTACCAGTCTTTCTAAGAAAAATTTGAGGAAATATTGCCATTTTCAGAGTTACATATGGTTTCCAGATTTCTGTAAGGATTCATTGTTTGCATAGCAAGCAGGCATTCCTAAACTGTTTCTCTCCCGTGAACTGTTACCTAGCTAGAAAATGGGAGATACTGAAAGTCTCATAGATGATTGGACTTTAAATGTCCTGAAATGATCTTTCCTCTCTACAAAAGACTGATCTTTGACTAAACTAGAAGGCTGAGTAAGCATAATTAAATTTAGTTCCCCACACCCTGCCCCCTGGTTCCAATGGTGGGGAACAAAAACTATTGTAAGCTATTGATGACTGTATCCAGTTTTCACTATTTCTTACTGCGGGATGAGTATAGCAGCATATCACATGGACTAGAGAAAGTATTTACCTGCAAGGCTGGTTCAAACGATCATGAAACTCTGCAATCCCAGAAGGTCCCAGTTCAGGAGTGAAGTCAAGAGACAGAGGATTCTGTGCATGCTTGTTCCTCATTTCTGTATACCACATAAGCAGTGACTGTGAAAATACTGAGCTTGTGGTATGCCTTGGAGTCCTAAACTCTGCTTGGATTTATACACCACCAAGACTTTTGACCTGCTTGGTACTCGCACTCTTACCTCCTGCCGCACTGATTGAAGAACTCAGGAGAAGGTGTGGGAGTGGGCATGGAGAGGGAAGCCTCCACTCAACCTCCAAAAGTTGCTGCCACGTTAAGCTGCTCCCACTTGGGAATTCCTCTGTGGCTTCCTTACTTTCTGGCTGCTGCCCTACACAGGACTGTCTTTGGCTTTTTTATACTGAGGTGTAGTTTCCCAGGAATTGGCGGGAGGGAAATGAGATTAGGGAGTCTAATCTGTTTGTGATGGTTTTTGAGGCTTGAGGAAGTTGGTGTTAAAAGGCTCTAACTTGTGGTCAGAGTCAGTGTTATAGTACAAGATGAGTGCTATCTGTCTATGGGAAGAGAAGAAAACAACGTGTGTTTCCTTGCATTCATGGTTTTGTCAGGCACATTCTGTGTGTATGCCAGTTTTAGCTGGTATACAGCATTGTGTGTGTGTGCAAATCAGACACAGGATAACTATTAAAAAAACAACGAAAACAAACCCAAAATGGCACTGTTATGGGAGAGAGTAACCTTTAGTCACATCTGCTTTTTTAGATGACTTGAGTGCCAATATTTAAGTGATTTGTTATTTGTAAAAATGTGCTGATAAGTTACTTTATTTGAAATTTAAAGTACTGAGCGTCTGGTAGATGTTTAAACTAAGAAGCAAAACAAATAGAAAGAGGAATGTAACTCTTATATTTCCAGGTTGGAATAGCAACATGCCAGATTGCCCGAGCTTATGGCTTGAGAGTTTTGGGTACAGCTGGAACACCGGAAGGAATGAACATTGTTTTGAGAAATGGAGCCCACAAAGTATTCAATCACAGAGAAGCTGATTATGTTGATAAGATTAAGGTAACTGGCTGTCAGATTTAGATGATCTAATAGGTTGGTTTTTTTACTGTTAGCTTTTTATGAAAGGTGAACAGCTGTTTACTTGCATGTTTTTCACTTGTTTCCTCCTGAATTGAGATTAGTGTTCCATAGGATTGAGTCATTGGAGCAAAGGGTACACAGGCTTTCAGTTCCTGCTCAAAAGACATGGATAGTAAGAGTACTGAACAATAAATTGGGAATTGTTTATGATAGGTTACTACTTGCAATTGAATGGTGGATTCAGGGTGTCAGACTCTTCACTTTTCCTTTAGTCTCACTTGGAGCCATTCATTAGTGTGCCTTATGGTGGCCATTGCAGTTGCGAGGTAACTTTCCTGGAGTTTCGCATGCTATACGCTATTCCAACTGGAAAAACTTAAAGCGTTTAGAAATTCTAGTATCTCATCAAGTAACAATACAAGAGGTAAATTTAGTATCACATTAGACATTTGACATATAAAAATCCTAGGTTACTAATAATATGTGAAACAGAGCTCACATTTGATTGTTGTTCTCTGGTTAGTTAATCTGTATATTTTTATATCCTACACAGGAATTCATTGGCATGCAGGGAGTTGATGTGATAATAGAAATGCTAGCTAACGTCAATCTTGCCACTGATTTGCATCTGCTGTCACAAGGAGGAAGGGTGATGGTAAGTGTTTTCTTGTCTTTGCCTTCACATTAAGTTTTGAAATTATTGAAAAGATACTTTTTGATTGTCTTAACTGTTTTGCAACAGATAGTGGGAAGTAGAGGTCCTATTGAGATCAATCCAAGAGACACGATGAGTAAAGAATCCAGTGTTATTGGGGTCGCCTTATTTTCAGCAGCTAAGGTAAAGAAATATGATTTAAAATGTTCACTTAAAACATGTTTGAATAGCTTTATTTGTGTTTTAACTGAAAGTACATTAAGTTGATAAAATATTTAACAAAATAGCCTAATTCTGTTTGATTGAGAAATAGGGGCGCAGTTTACTAGCAACTAATATAAATTCTATTTGTCAGATGGGACACACACAGAAGAACTAACAAATCTCAGGGATGCATTTGAACCATGAACTTTAGATGCTGCTAGTATTAAGTGCACATCAAGTAAATCTTGTCTTTGTTACACAGGAGGAGATGCGTGAATGTGCTGCAGCACTTCTTGCTGGCATAGAAGCCAGCTGGCTGAGACCAGTCATTGGCCCTGAGTATCCATTGGAGAAAGTGGCTAAGGCTCATGAAAACCTCATTCACAGCAGTGGTGCCTTGGGAAAGATGGTGCTCCTAATCTGAGAAGTTATGTAAAATAAAGTCTTTTCCCACTTAAACTGTGGTTTTCTTGCCATACATTTATATGGCTCATTTATCACATTTTGTAAAGTATGTTAGTGATCAGGTTTTACAGTAAGAACAAGCGCTAGTGTGGACAGAGAACAGTAATAAAGAACAGAATTTATTTATAATGAAAAACTGATCCAGTATTAAGTGCTGCTTTGATTTGGAAATCTCTCCCCTCTGTTGTGGTCTTGTGACAGTGGAACACTGACACCAAGGCTGAAATGTGCCACTGTGCTCTACTACATACTCTGCTTGGAGGCCCTGAAAAATTTCAGCTAGTGTAGAATGTAGCTTTCAGTGGGCACATCTATATGAGACATTTTACTGTGGAGCTGACTAATTCTGCAGTAAAGTGTCAGTGAGATGTTTACTGCAGCCCTATTAGGCCACAGTAAACTAATAAATGCCACCATAGGATCATACTTGTGCCCAGCCAGTCCCTCTGCAGCGCTTGAGCTGGGGGAGCAGCCCCGGGTTGGCAGGCTGCCCCACCCTGCCCCCACTCCCATGGGCTCCCTGTCAGCTGGGGCTGCTTTGACTTGGTTCAACATGTTGCAGTCCCAGGTGCATGTGTAAACGTGGTGCCCAGGAGCAATAAACTCATCCCAAACTGCACTAGAGTTTATGCAGTCACGTTAATTTGCATGCATAGATGCAAAGTGGGACAAAGTGTGTAATTAGAGCTCTGTGAATTCCTTAGTTTTAGATTTGTCATATTATTCACTGTCTGCCACAGAATTGTGCTTCAGAACCAGAGCTCTGATTTTCAAATGGCTAATTCTCTACCTCTTATGGTTGTCAAGAGCCTCCTAGATGTAGATGCAGGATGTAGACTGAGGAATAACATTGCCTCTATCTCAAGCAGTATTTCAGAGATGGGTGCTGTTGTCCTTGTAATTTCAATGGGATGGTAACTTTGAAGCCCAGCATTGGTGTTACCATCTTACAGCTGATTGTTTTGGTTGATTCCGTGTGGTTCAATTGCGTGACTAATAAGAAGTTCATTTCTTCCCAACACTTCACTATGAATTTAAAATCCCATTGGCCCTTGCCCAAAATGGGAGTGAAAAAGGAGATGTGCATTCCTGGGTGTTAAAAAGTCAACCTGTCCTCCCCTAATCAGCAGGCCCCTATAGATACAAAATTCACATTGAAAATGTGTCTACTTTGTAGAATAAATAAATGCAGGATAAATTGATGACTGTTGTACTGATTTTTATTAGTTTTTTATGGCTAATTTGATTTAAAAAAAAATCTCAGTGTGCAACAGAATGTACAGGTGCTGCACCAGGGGACTTTACAGCAGGTATCTGGCCCAGATCACTCCTTTTTTTTTTTTTTTTTTTTTTTTTTTTTTTTACTCTTGTTCAACTCTCATTACACGAGTGAGTTGAATCTGTTGATCTTGGGGCTTGGGACTAGTATTAATGACTTCATTTTTATGTAATATTTGGAGATATTAATACACGCTGACCAACTACTAGAAGTCTGGATTTTATTTTCTTCACTTCCATCGTTTATTAAACAGGGGAACAAAGCAGAGTTTTTCTGCCTATTCTGGGATGTACCATCAAGCTTCTGGTAGTCAGTAACGGCAAAATGGGTCTCCTGAGTTTATAGGAGGGACTACTGTACCAGTGAATCAAAGGGAATAAACTATTGATTATTATCAGCATAGACCAGAGGTTTTCAACCTCTTTTGGTCAAGGAACCCTCGGTGGCTGGTCAGGATGCAGGCAGTCCTCCAGCAGCCGGTTGACGAGCAGGGTGATCCCCCTTGGTGCCCACGTGGCATGCAGCAACAAAACCAGAAGTGCTGGTGGCTTCTCCGCATCACTGCCACATACCCTCTGTGGCCTTCCAGACTACCTCCAGGGGTGCACGTACCCCCACCCCTGGTTGAAAACCCCTGGCATAGACATTCAATCAATATGTTTGTCCTCCTTATCTGTAAATGTAGTTGGTCATTCTGGGTTTACCTCATTGTCTAGGACAGCGGTTCCCAACTGCAGGTTGCGACCCAAATGAGGGTCATGGGGGTGATGCCGGTGGCACCGCACGCAAAGGATGAGCCGTGCCCTGAGCTCCCCCACTCCCAGGCTGCTGCTGTCACCGCACTCAGCTCCCAGCAGTGGGTCACTGCAAAAAGGGTTGGGAACCACTGGTCTAGGACATCACATGGAATTGTTTGGTCAATAGTTCTAAATACCAATGCATCTTGGAACAGATTCACACTGCATTGTCTAGTCCTTTTTTTCAATTACGCTGAAAGCAGTTTGATCTGCCAAGAGAGTCTCTTGCTATAAAAATCTTTTATGGTTTTGTAACGTTTGGTGTGAAATCTGTTTTGAATTCCACTGGGGTAAAATTAGAAACACTTGCTTTGTGAATATGATAGAATTATCATTCAAAGGGGACGGAAGACGTTTGTTGTGGTGTATCAAACAGGAACATGGCCACTTGAAAGCTGTCACTTAAGAAATATCCTAACCCACCAAAGGCCCTTTCTCACTTGTGAGGAGTCTCTATTAAATACAGTTAGCTGACATCAGCCTTTGTTCTTTTAATTCAATGCTCCTCCTCTTTTGGAATGGATCCCTTTAAATTTCTTTCTTACAGGGTTCACCAGATGTGCTACTGTGAAGCAAATAATTTACATAGCCAAAAGCTGCCACCAACATTTATGAGTGGATCAAAGTCAGGGCCCTGATCACTTAAAATAACTTCATATTAAATTGTTGCTGACTATATAGAGTATGTCTACCCTTCTATTTAAAGACACAGGCAAAAGACAAATTAGTCTGTATCACTTCCTTTTTTGTTCTCATCACTGTATCTGTAACCTGGTGAAGTCATTGGGCAAAATGACAGAATAAGGGTTTATGATGACATGGAATGGTTCAGGATGACTCCTGTGGATGCAGACAACAAGGGGCCCCTGCCAATCCTATATTACTATCTAACTCCTGCCCTTTTATATTCACATCTCACATTAATCCAGATTGATTTGCAAGTGTAGGCAATCCCTAAAGCATTCATGTCTGGAGTGAATTTCATATATTGGGGACCTACAACTAAGCATAGGATTGTGATAAAATGATGGCCAACTTGCAGCTCTGTGGCCCCACACTCCTGGCACAGTCATCTGAGTCTCTCTTTCTGGTCCTTATTGGCAAATTAAATTAATGCCTCAGGGTCAGGGAGATGTCTTTGTACTTCCTCAGTACCCAATGACTTTTTGGCCTTTTTGTTAATCTGTTAAGTACAAAACAAACTCCTTTAAATATAATTAAGGCTTTTCCAGGCATAATACAATTAATGTACATAATGTCTTTTTGATATGTGGATAGGCAGAGTTTACACTTATAGCACTGTTAGGTACTACAGGAGCTAACCTTTTAATGGGATACCTTCCTAATGGACATTAAAGATACCATTTGGCCCATATCCAAAACATTTATCCCAACGTTAAAAATGAGTTCTTGCTGTAATTGAAGCTTGCTAGTTTGTAAAACTGAAAGTGCAAAGGCTTTTTACTAGAAATTCCCTTCTAAAAGCATGCCTGTTACAGTGTAACCTGAATTTGTCTGGTTCACCATGTTTTATAAACCTACCCATGTTCTTTGAACCCAGGTGCAATTTTTCTCAAAGCCCTACCCTACACAATGGGATCCTCCTGTTTTCTGCCTTGAGCCTCTTCTGAATGGCCATGTATTCCACTGGCATTTAATTTAAGTAATCCAGAAAGGCAAGTGAAACTCAATCTCCTAAAACTTCTAGATGTCTCTTGCTGTTGGGAACATGCACTGAAATATTTTGTTGGCTTGTTCCCATCTCTCACTATGTTAGATAGAAGGGGGGAACTATGCTTCAAATCCCTTTAACTTTTTCAACACCTTGTTCTTCTGTCAAATGCTTGAATCTGTATTCCACAATTGTCTTGAGGTATGTGATTGTGGGAAATACAGAGACTAGTAGTCTCTTGGTCCTGAAATTATTTAGCTTATATGACACAGGTAAATTAAAGCAGTTGCTCTCATTTTGGAAAGCTGGGCACTGCTAGTATTGAGCGGTTGGCTGATAATCTCTCTTCCTTGCTGAAATCTAGCAGATATCTATTTTGTTTGGTTTTTAAATCTGCTCTCACAAAGTGTTTATGCAGTTATCTTGCCTGAATGATTAATTGATTAAAATAATTGAAATCAAGATTTCCCAAGCTTTCCACAGTATCACAATATCAGATATAAGCAGGAGGCATCTGGTTCTTCCTACCCTAGAAGAATGTGAAGGCAGCTGTAAATCACAAACACTCCCCTTTCCCTACCCAGACTTCTTGTCCAATAAGATTTGGAGGAGTTTGCTCATTAGAACAGATGGAGCAAACTTATTTTAAGCCATGTATATGCATACTCATGCTAACTTTACTTTAGCTAGCATGGTCAACAATAGTCTTTACCTAAAGATCTGTAAGGCTGTGTTGCAGGTGTGTAGAACGGCAGTCTAGTAGAGAAAGTTGATGTTTACTATCTAAATGGTTGAAAATTGATGTGTAGAATGGTTGGTAGATAACTGATTTTTTTTTTTTTCAAACAAGTAGCAATGATCTTAAATTGCTTTTAAACTGGATATTAGAGGGAGCTTTTCTCACTATGAGGTTCATAGTATCCTAGTGCTTAGGGTCGAAAGGGACCCAAACAGATCACCAGGTCTGACCCCCCGCCCCAGGCAGGAACGAGTGCTGGGGTCATATTACCCCAGCCAAATATCTGCCGGGGTCATATCACCCCAGCCTCCTCTTGAAGACAAGAAGGTTGGTTAAGCATTGGAATAGAATACCTAGAGAGGAGGTGGAATCTCCATCCTTGGAAGTTTTTTTAGAGAGAAAGACAAGCACTTGACTGGGACAGTTTAGATGGGGATGACTACTTTGTGTAGGACTTTGAACTGGATGACCTCAGAAGCTACCTTCCAGTAGTGAAAGCTGAAAAGT